AGGGTATGACAGCTCTCCCTACAGCGACGGATCAGAAACTTGCTGAAAGCTGTTCTGAAGGAAGCAAGATGTGTTAAGTGACCGTCTTAACTGAACAAAGACATGACAGTAAATTGTTGCTAGAATTATTAGGCCAAGAATCTCTTTAGCAGCTCTGGTCCTAGCTGTATGACATTCAACAGTAATGGCATGTGAAGAGGTTTTTCCAAAGGTGGAAATAAAATGTTAACGTCTCCCTTGAAACGGGGGACGCAGTTCTGCCTCGTGTAGTCCCTGGAGCAGGTTGCGTGACGATTCCCTGGGTCCTTACTGGCAAGGTCGTGGACACCAGCGTGTGGCCGAGACTGGACAAGTAAGTTTGGCTGATGTTTCTATGAAGTTTTTCATGTGTACTTCCACTGCTTTTTTCCATGATGGATCTAGAGTTGCGATGATCAAAATGGCTTAACAAGAACTTTTTCTCTCTCTCCCCAGGATCGTTGCACAGACCGTTTCCAGTCGCTGCTCGTTAATTGTCAGGTAGGTTGCTCCGTGGCAGACCCTGGGCGGCTGGAGCCAGATGTGGAGAAGCACTGCAAGGCCGACAGCAAGGTGGGTGGGGTAAGGTCTGGTGTATAAACTAACCTGGTGCTTGACAGCCAAAATTACAGCTGCTTCTGAAGAGATACTGGGGAGGTGTAAGGATGGTGCAAGTCATAGGAACAATATCCAACCTGGAGGGAGAAAACAAGTCTTTAAAGGGCACTTGAACTTCCACTGGGAGGGCCTTCCCTTCAGTTTTAGGAGATAAATAGAAGAACGGGTGAAAAGCATAGGTTGGAGAAAATGATTTAGCTTTTTAAGGGCTACCCTGTAGTGGGCAGACGGGTGCAGGAGTCCCTCCCGAGTGGGGATCTCCACACCTCTGCTCCTTGGGGCACCAGCATTGCTTCAGTACCTCTCAGATTTTCTTGCCATTGGAGACAGGTTTAATTGAAAGGTAAAAGCATCAGAACCTAATGGTTATCTAATTTATTTTTTTTTTTAACTTAAAGTCTGCATCTTTAGGCATCTGAATACTTTAAGTATCTGACCTGTATTACCTAGGTGAAGATTTCCACATCGCTCAGCTCACGAGGGGACAAGAATGCTGCCTTTCATCCCTCAAGGCGCTGCTGGAGGTTGATTTGCAGGCAGCACGCAGCACCCCCGCAGCTGCTCAGCACCCGCTGTGTTTGAAGCGAATGATGGTTTTGCTCCGTAACGGGATGCAGTCCAGGATTTACTTCTAATAAATCTGGGGGCATCTTAAGTGGACGCTGGACAACTGGAGCTCAGCACTTTGCTCCTTTTTCACTTACACCACTTACCGTGTTTCCCAGGTAACTGCTCTGCACCGTGTATTTTCAGGCAGGCTCAGAGCAGCACCAGCCCTGCGGACGAGGCGTCCCCGTGCTCCCTGGGCTGCTCCCTGGGCTGCTCCCTGGGCTGCTCCCTGGGCTGCTCCCTGCCTCTCAGTTTCTGCACACAGACAAATCCCGAGCTGCATTTGGGGGGAATCAGTTGAAGCTTATTTTACAGGGAGAAGGAGCGGTAATCAGGTAGGTTGAATATACAAACAAAATACTTCCCAGATCAGAGTGTGGGATGATTTTTCTCTGCAATAATAATTTTTCATCACAAGGGGTTGTAGGGCACACCACAGAGATTAGTATGACATCTCCATGGTCAGCAAGAACCGGGCTCTCTCCAGGTGAGGGGGGTACAGACACGTCCTGGTGTGGGTGCCCTGGGCGTCGGGGTCCGTGCAGGCAGGTTGGGTCGCATTGCCATCCGCAGGCTGCTCCCCTCCCCTCTAGGGCCCAGCTGTCCCAGCCTCCTCTGTCCCCGTCGGAAGGGTGGACCGCATCTCCAGGGAGGAAAAGACACGCAGAAAAGTTTATTGGAAACCATGCAGAACAGGATTTATGTTAATCTCCAGATAAATCTATTTTAAAGCAATATCTTCTCTGACCCTAGCGACGTTCATCCTGGAAATCTAACGTGTTTTGCTGTGATTTATCTGCTTATTTTATTTCCAATTTGATCTTAAATGTGCTTTCACAATGGTAAACTCTGTTATGATGATACAGATTTTTATAGACTGCTTCTGTACTTTTTCAATACCTCCTGCTCGCTGTCTTGCTTTTAACCCTAGTATAAATTGAAAGCTTATAAACTTATTCAGCTATGTTCTTGCAGCTTTCGTATGATCTGAAAATTGTATAAACAGAAAAAGCTGATGCTGTGTGTTTTTAACCTTGCGATTGCGTGAATATTGCATGCACGAGGCAGGATTGTCCTGGCATTCTGCAAGGAGCGATCATTTCCATTCTGGCCGCGTCTCAAAAGCGGCATCCATTTACCACGCTTGGCTCCCTTGCACGGGGACGGGTAGGTCTGTGTTTCCTTTGGTTCAATAACGCCTTTGCCGTAAGGGATATTCCACCTGGATACGTGTGAGCACGCGGCGAGTTGCATGTTGGCGCTTGGCCTTGCCCTGCTCTGTTGGGCGGTGTGAAATGGTACTGGGGTGCGATACCGGCGGTGCTGGCACAGCCTTTCACTGCCACTGCTCCTGCTTTGCGCGTGTCGCTTCAAGGAACCATGGGGGCTCGCTATGAAATACGCCGACCGAAGGGCAGAAACTGTTAGGGTGAACCGCAAAGGTGCGGCAAGAGCAGATTTTGCTCTGAGAAGGCAGTGGTTGTGCCCTGCTGAGAAAACCTGCCCTGGTTCACCAGCCACAGCCCCCA